TACCGAGGCGCCCCTAAATCAGCAGGAATGCATTCTAAAGCATGCACAAAAGCTGCTTCTCACCTGACCCAAACCAGCTCATACCATTAACCACTATCTTACCCCTACAAACAATGCACTTTCTCCCAAAGGATTTTTTAAAGGCCAAATGTAAGCTAAAAGTCCCTCATTATTAGTCAAGTTTAATGATCATGATTTAATCAGTATTTTTTTCTGGCTCTAGCTCTGTTATTTGATGGGATTTGTGTAAGACAGTAAAGAAAATGCTGCATGGAAATTCAGACCTGACAGCATGACCTTGAGCACTAACTAACCTGGATTTGCATACCTGGCTGATTTTGCTCCTAGAGTTATCTTGGAGAAATCACCTTCACTCTGACAATTCTGCTTATCTGCCTCACCAAGAGGTACAGAACACTAATTAGCCACAAGCTTTAACATTTCAGAATCCCCAAGAGGAAACATAACGCAGGGATCTTTCTGGTTAAATATTGCTGCCTCTCAGTTTTCCAATAACCAAATGATCTTCACCATTTTATCACAAATGAGCTGAAGAATGAGAACAAGATGAGTTTCAAATGTGAAGTAGCTCACATTACCGTCACCAGCAATTAAGGTTGAGTAAAATGCGAATTACAGCAACAGTCCTTAGGATTTACCTGAGCCATGAAAGAACCTAGCAAATAAGACCCTTATTATTAATATTTTATTCATACATATTACCTGATTTTGTAATCAAGGTTTAGATGGACAAAGTGACCTGGCAGGATAAACAATTTAAGATGTGGAGAAAAAAATCTGTCGTCTCTGGACAAAGGCACTCCTATTGGTGACCTGACATGAAGCAGATTTAACTTGAGGTGGATGAGGCATCCTGAGGAAGGAATGGCTGCAGCCCTCGTGTTGCCTGTAGTTGAGCTTTGTCAGGGTGAATAGAAAAGCAACACTTTGAACTGAGCTCTGAACCTTCTGAAGGTTCCTCTGTATCTCCAATCCCCACCTGGGACCTAGAACATACATGGGTGATCCTATTTATCTGCCACGGACAATACCTCTTAGTTTGGGTGGGAAATCCATGATTTAGGTCTCACGGTTCACCGAGGGGAGAAAACATAAGCTATCTCCGTGCTGATGGCAAGGACCTCCTGGGTGGCCCTTTTCCAGTTGCATCTTGTGTCCACAGTGGAAAGCACATGATGATCTAAATGAACACAAGGCCCTGTCTCTTCATATAGGGCATCTGCCGAGATTCGCAGCTTGGTTGTTACCCTGTCAAGCCACGGATGTAATTTCCGCCGGGAGGAAAAGAACAGAAACAGATTCTCGTAGCTTGGGTAAAGGGAAGGCAATCATTGACTCATTTGTTACTTTTGAAAATGGCATTTTCAGTAAGTGGAACAGTTGCTGAGGTGTGTTGACTTCACACTCTCATGTAGCTTCTTGCTTCTTGAAAATGTTAAGTTAAATGTGAGCCATCCACTAATGGGAATCAAGATAAATGTGGAGAAAGATGATATTCCAGTGTCAATGGCCTTCACCTGACAAGTTTGTATCCAACTGAGCAAGATGATGAGCTAGCCACAAAGAGTTCATGCCTAGAAATTCAGACATTTTTCTCTCATGATTTCCCTTTGGCTTTTTTCACTATACGTTCATTCGTGTGCTATACTGGGTATTGTCCTCCTGAGTAGTGAAACAGGTACTCCTCACGCTGAGTCAATTCAAATGTAGGTTTGGAAAGAAACTCTCAGAAGGTTTCTTAAGAATGAATGACTTTGGAGTTAGGATTTGAATCGTGTTCTCACCACTTGGGCTCACCGTCTTTGGGATGTCTCTTTAAAGTTCCCAGAAATTTGTTCTTTCTTCTATGAAATGAAAATGAAGGATACCATCTGTTTGTCATCATCAGATGTGATAATGTATGTAAAGGCCCTTAGTTACATGTAAAGCATTGTGCGTATGTGAAGGATTATCATTGTGCCTTCGTTTTGCCAAGGGCGTTTATGTATAAAAGACTGCCTTACAAACATACAACTTACATGTGATTGTGTACATGGAAAACTTTCACTAGCACAGTGGAGGGGGCTTGGATATTTTATATTACCTCTGCACTGAACAGTCTTGTTTATTCAGTGTCTGTATGCTGGGTGCCTGGCATTTTTCTAGGTGATGAGCATAAATTGGTAAACACATAGACGTCTACGCCCTTAGGTGATGTTTATGTTCCTGTGGGGGTGGGGGTGGGGGAAGAAACAGAACAAATATAAACAAATAAAATAATTTCAGACAGTGTACGTGCTTAGGAGAAAACAGAACAAGCCAAGCACTAGGGAGTGGCGCGTGAACTGCGTCCAGGATAATGGGAAGACCTGGGAAAAATCATTCTAGGCAGCAAGCACAAAGGCTAAGAAGTGGGGAAAGAGCTCAAGATCTCTGAAAGCAGGAAAAGGTACTGTGTATTTGGAGCCTGAGGAGGAGAACAGAAGGAAACATAATTATAGAGAGAAGGAGCAACCAGTTTGTAAGGGGACCGGGTGACCATGGGAAGGAGTTAGGATGTTATTCTAATTGCTATAAGAGGTCATTAGCAGGGCATGCCTTGTATGTTCCTAAACAGTACCTATTCAAAAATCAAAGATGATTTTAAAAGCTATTAATTCTCCACTTCACCCACCTGCAAGATCTAAGAAAGAAGCTTGGACCTCTAGAGGGCGCCAAAGGAAAACATTTGGTAACCAAAGCCACAAGGGTCTTTTCAGCACCTGAAGTGAGAGGAGAGCGCTCTGGCTGTTCCCAGGAGTCTGGTAAAAGCTGATTCCACTGGGAAACTGCAGTTCATCTACAACTACTACCCAAACAGAAAGTCAAGTGAGCTTGGTTTGCAGGTACCTGGACCTTGGTTTTCCAGCGAAGGACTGTTTATCATGGGATGGAAGTGGGAAGACATTTTAGGGTTATTTTTAATCTTCTCCCATCTGGTAGTATTTGAGTAGAGCATAAAACAAATATGAAGCCAAAATTTACTTTCTGGATTCATTTGGCAAGCAAAGCGTCTCTATACTTAGAACTTTGAAAATATTCATCATTTGCCACTTGGGATGTTGTTATTCTAAATACTATTCAAACTTACTTGATGAAGTCTCTCAACAATGTGTACTAAGGAAGGCTACTGCATGGAAAGCAGTGGGTTATGATCAGTGGGATTTTCTGCAAATGAGCAGATACCTGTGATATATCGTGAAAATGACTCATAGTGAAAAAAGATAAGGAAAAAGGAGGAGAAGAAGGAAAAAGAGGAGGAAGAGAAGGGGAAAAGGAGCAAGATGGGGAAGGAGAGTCTGATGATGTGGAGATACATAATAAAGAAAGTGCAAAAAAGGAGGAGGGCTTGGAAGAAATTGAGACTTTCAGAGGCTAGTGGGGTTCAGATCCACGCGTGAAGACTGAGAAACACAGTTCTGAAGACATATTTTACACAATCCCAAATTGAGACTTTATCAGATGTGGGTATTAAAGGTTCACAGTGATTTCGAGAAAACATTCATTACTGTCTTATAAGGACAAGTTCAGCTGGTCAGCCCCTGCTCAAAGAGGCTCTCATCTCTCCATTTCATGTCTGATGATCACAGCCATGTACTTTATAATACTCTGCTCTACCCAGGGAGACTTCAAAAAGCACTGTAAAAGCAGCCAACCAGATAAGTAACCTGAGCAAATGGATACAGAACCATCAGAGAAGAGAGAGAATCCCAAATCCACTAGAAACCCAGAGGGTCAATGATGGGTAAAGCCTTCTATAGGTGTCTGTGTTCCAGAAACCACAAGCCATTTTTGGAGGTGTTGTACCTGGTTATTCAACGATATATTCAAACCCGAACACAAGGAAGAGGAGTTTTTAAGCTTCCTATAGAGCCAAAGGCACAGAGGCTGAGCCTAGAGCAGAAACATAAAAGCCAGGCCCCTGTCCGAGCACCTCTTGTCAGCCTCCTATGTGGAAACACTTCAGCTGACATGTTTCCCTCATTTTTATGGAGAAGCCCCCAAATTCAGTCTCCTGCTACTTATCAAGCATTTGGCAAACAAAGTTCCAGACCATTAATTATCTATTGATGTGAACGAATTTCAACAATAAAATCACCATCTACCTTCTCCTTCACAGACCATGGGAACACTGTTCCCAGAAACACATCCACATTTAGCAGGAAAGACAGGAAGAAAGGAAGAAAAGCGACGGAGGATCAGGTTCCACCTACATATTTCAGACCATCTACATCAAAATATCCTTTATCAATCAAGCAAAACTTGCATTCTTTGCCAAAGACACGTCCCTGCCTACCCTACCGGTCCCAGATGAGGCTGATCTATACAAAGCACTGGGTTCGGATCCTACAAGAGAAGATATCCTCTTAGAACCCCAAAGCAGTAAAGAATTCCCAAGTAAAATACGTATCATGGGACTGAGGAACTGGACGATATAACATATGTAGGGTCCCCACCAACAATTGCTATGTGTTCAAAAAATGCTATTAACTTCTAGAACTGAGGGTTTGTGGTACAGAGATACACAGAAACCCAACTCTGAATCCCAGAGTCCCTTACAACACCAAAAGCTGTTAAGGAGTGGGTCATCTTCTAAATCGGGGTGCTTCTCCTCCCCTTCTGTTTCCTGCTCCAGAGACTACAGGGCCTGGGGGCATGTGCAGAGCAGAAAGAAGGCTGTTTCTTAGCTGATGTCAGAGAAGAATTACTCACAGAAGCCGAAGAGAAGGGCAGGGCTGGAAGAAACTTTAGAGATCATTTAGTTCCAACTCCTCTAAGATGAGCGAAATACCATCCCACCAACACCCAGGACCTCCCAAGTGCGAGGCACTGTGCCAGGCTGGGGGAGGGGCCTCCAAATGAGCCAGGAAAGCCGGCCTCTCTGAAAGCTATTTCTAAATAACCCAGGGGAGTGCGGGGGTGGGGGGTGGGGGGTGAAGAGCAAGGCAGGCCGGAGTTACCTGGTTGATGGAAATGACCGCTAGCCGGGGGATGACCACCTGCAGGACCACCTGCAGCAGCGAGGTGCCCAGGCCGGCCAGGATGGCCCAGGTGAGCGGCAGCGGCAGCATGCTGTAGGTGGCAAACAGCGTGAAGAGAACGTAGCCGATGCCATCACCCAGAAGCCCGTAGCCGAGGCCTGCTGCCAAGATCTGGGTGGTCATGGCCACCCAAGTGACCACGCCGCTGTACTGCAGGTACGTGTGCGAGGTGGTGTCCTTCCTGACCACCACCAGGGCGCAGATCACCACCTCGATGCCAGTGAAGAAGCCCAGGAGGATGCCCTTGAGCGGGTCCATGGGGGCCGAGGCCAGGCTCAAGTGGAGGACCAAGAGGGTGAGTTTGGTCAGCACGTCCAGCACGTTCATCACCACCTCGGATTTGCGCCTCTGGCCCAGGAAATAGCGCTGGTAGAGGCGCTCCAGATCCCGGGACTTGAAGGAGTTGCGCAGAGTGGGGAAAATGACCCCTCGGTAGCTATAGCCCCCATTGAGGAAGAAATCCGAGTTGCTTGGGGCGCAGTCGAGGTGCAGGAAGCCCAGATCGCCCCCGCCCCCGCCGCCGCTGCCGCTCCCGCTGCGTTCCGGGAAGACTTTGGTGCCACCAGTGCTGTGCGCTCTCTCCCCGGGGCCCAGCGAGTAGAGGGGCGGCGCCGAGGCGCCGGACAGCTGCGCCGCGTGATGGTTGGGGCCGCCGCCTGCAGGGTCCGAGGCTTTGCCGGAGCCTCTGCTCCCGCTGCCGCCGCCGCTGCCCCGGTGCCCATGAATGAAGCGCTGCTCGGTGATGTGCCTCACCGCCGTCTGCCACAACAGCCGCTGCGGCCGCGAGCCGCTCCCGCCGTCGCCGGCCGGGGGCGTCGGGTGGATAGTGTAGAGTTCCTCGCTGCCGCTCAGGCAGCGCACATCGGAGAGCTCCATGGCGCCGGGCCGCAGGCGGGGAGGCGCAGAGCCAGGAGGAGGCAGCTGGGGAAGGGGTCCCAAAGACCCCACGGCGGCCTGGCGGGAGCTGGGCGGCGAGCCCTGGTATCCCCGGCCGCCGGGTCGCGCGAGCCCTGCACGGGAGGCCCCGCGCGTCAGGTCATAGTGCTCCTCGGGGCAAAGGGCGTCGGGAAGATTGCCGCAGACCCCTGCGTCCTTGCGCGCCGCCCTCCCGCCAAACCGCGCAGCTGGGGTGCGCGGCGGCGGTGGCTCGGTGTCCGCAGAAGCCGCGGCGCTCTGAGCCACGCAGCCCCCTTCTCGGGCTCAGGCTTCTCGGCCGCTCCTCGGCTCAGCGTCTTGGCGCAGCCTTTGCTCTCCAAGAGGCGCCTGGGCGCCGTGCTTCTTTCTGCTGCGCGCCGGGCGGGTCCTGGCTGCGGCACTGGGCTCGGGACACCCACGACTCGGCGCCTGCAGGAGGACTGGCCGAGGGTGACCGGCGGCGGCGGCGGGTGCGAAGTTAGCCGCTGTAGCTGGAGCAGAGCCCTTCGGAGAACTCCATTGCGCCGGGATGGGGAGCCGGGGCGGAGCTGGGGGCGGGGACAAAGAAGGGGGAGGTGTGGGGGACGGGGAGGTGGTGGGGTGCCCCGCGGAAGGGTTGGAGAGGTGGTAGCCTCGGGGCTAACAAGTCACCAAACAGTTAATTTGGAGCAGGGGGGGTGCTGAGGCTCCCTCCTCGGCTCATCTCTGGCTGTCTCCTTTTCCTGCGCGAGGACTGACCGCGCGGCGCTGGCTCTGGCCCGTCGCATCCCTCGGGGAAGGGGGAGGGCGGCAGGGTCCCAGTCGCGGCTAGACGAGGTCAGCCCTTCCAGCTGTGCTTCCGAGGGGTCGGAGCTCACAGTTCCCATTCCCTTCACTTCGCTCTTCGGAGTCCATTTGGCCCGGAGCTGGGAGGCGGGAGCAGGAAAAAGTGGGGAGGGCTCCGAAGCCAACAGCTCTGAGATCGCCGAGAAGCTACTGGTGCGGATCCCTAAGCCTAAGAACAGAAGATTGGCGGGTGCGGCGGGTGTAAGGTCTGGACGAGAAGGGAGGCCCGAAGCCGCGGGGAAGTCGACTGAGACGCCACCGGATCCAGGGACGCGCCGCGTGCCACCCTGGCGCTCTGAAGCGCGCTGCGGGCACCCGGCGGCGGGGAGGAATTTGGAGACCTGTCAGATCGGTCAGACACCCGCGGCGACTTAAACCCGCCCCCACGCCAAGCCACGCCCCCGGAACCGGGTGGGGGTGGTGTCGGGGAGCTGGCACCCTGATCTGGCCAGGACGCCCCAGGTCTTGGAGGCAGCAACACGCGCAGGCCGGCGTGGGTGAGGACGACCGCGGGCTCCCCTGTCTCCCCCCGCGCGAGTATCCAGCGCTCCAGCTGGCCGCGCGGGCCGGTTCCTCCGCTCTTCTTTTTTAGGCACTGGCTCCGGTCCTCGGCAGGTGCAGAGCCAGGACTCGTAGGCCGCTCTGCCCACGGACTCCGAGAGCACAGCGCGATGAAATAGAGGGTCTCCTTTCCGTCCTCCCCACCCGGGCATATTTTGGCGAAACCAACTATCGGGCTAAAAGCAAGAAACCGCAGTTGTAGAGACGGCTTTCAGCAAGAGCCTTTACTACACCAATCCGGAGAAGTGGAGGGCTCGTCCCCGAGTGCAGCGCACACCAAGTTTCTCCCTGCTTACAATAGGAGGAGAGCGGGAGGACGAGGGGAAAACATTTCCAGCTGGCCGCTCAAGCCCCGGTTTCCCGCCCTCCCGGCTCCGCGCCCACGCCCGGCCGAGCGGGAGCGCCGGGTCCCGGGGCTGCAGGGCAAGTGTGGTCGCCGCAGTCCCGAGCCCGGCTGCAGGTGGCGGAGCCGCGGTGGCCGCCACCTCCGCCACGGCGACTGCGGCTGCAGCCGTGGAGCCCGAGCCCTGAGCACAGTCAGCTGATGGCCAATGACGTCAAGCCCTGGGCGCTTTCTCGGCTCCCCGTGGCGTCCCGTGAAAGCCCAGAAGACCGCCTCGCTGCCCCCTCAGCCCTCAAGAATGAGCGATTGATTTCCCTTGTTCTCCCGAGGAGAAACTCCCCTCTCTCTGCCTGCCCGGAGTGGGGAATAGCTTTGGATGGCCCTCTTCCCCAACCACATACTCCCATGTCCAGGGTTATTTGTGTCCACTGTGTCCCAGAAACACGGGATTTAATCATTTCCTTTTTATTCTTTCTTATCCACACACATGGGTTTCGGTTTAAATCCAGAACTGGTCCACTGCCTTGTAAGGAGAATCCCAAGAGAGAAAACGACTAACATTTTCCCCTATCCCCTAACAGTAGATTTCCGGGATGTAATATACACCCTGAAAAACTCTAATCCCAGATCTTTAGAGTTGTAGTCCACCATCTCTCAAGAGAACAAAACTAAATGCTCAATTTTAAATAGAAAGTCGGTTCTATTTTTAATTTAACTATAAAGATCTCCTGGGGTAGCTGTCCCACTCCCAAGGGCCTGGGGGTTAAGGGCAAAGAGCACCCCAAAACTCAGTTTTGCAGTAATCTAGACATTAATGAAATCATCCCAGAAAAGAAACACTTCTTGCTTCTCCCTTTCTAAATTGCTTGGACTCATCAGCTTCACCAGCTCTCTTGAAACTCTGGCGGGTAATAAGTGTCTTGACTTGAGGAGGGAGCCCAAAGAGGGCAGAAGGCTGGTGGGGGAGGGAGGCGGGTTCCTGCAGACCCTGTGCCAGGATGTATGCCCAACTGTGTCCTCTCTCTGCAGGCATTGCCCCAAGTCATCTGTGCTAATGACCATATTAGTAAACTTGGCAGTGGAAGATACCTCTTTATTTTCTCAATCTTTCTCCTTGGGAGCCTAAGAACTCAGCCTGAATAAATGAGGGGTTGAATGCAGATGGAACTTTCCTATGAAAATCTTCCTCCTGGACATATCCCAGGATGATTTATTCAGCAGCAAAGCAGGCATGCCAAGGAGGGGGAGACTGGACCCAATCAGATAAAATGACTCAGGCTGATGAATGAGCATACATGCTACAGAAAAAAAAACAAAGAATTTAATGAACTCAGGTTGAAACTAACATATCAGGGAAAAAGTTGCATCTGGTCAACTGACTCCTCTGAAAGTTCCTTTGCTGTTAGGGGGTGTTAGAACAGGTTATTTTAAAATAAGAGCACAGATGACAATTAGATTCAATTATTATTCTTCTTGTTGGGGTGACACAGTGCCATTCAGCCCCCAAAACATTCTGTTTTCAAATGACACACTTGGCTTTACACAAATATTGAGAGGCTTTTTGAAACAGGCAAACCACCAAATGATTATCACTTAAAACAAGTTAACATGCTGCTTTGATGCTACAATGTGCCTCTCATCATGCTTTCACTTGTCCCCTGCCTGTTTATTATGAGTGGTCTCTGCTATGTTCAGGGACAGTACTTTGCAAACTCGCTATCTTTTTGTACATGGATGCCTTCCATTAGCATGGCCCTGTATCTTCGTCCCTCCCCCCACCGTTTCCTTCCCTCAAAATACTACTCACCTCATCCTTCAAAGCCTGAGCCATGTCTCTGTGCAAATCCTTTCCTGATATTCCCAGTGAAAATTAAAAACTTCCTTCTGTGAAAGAAGCTTCCAAAATGAAGAAGCATTGCTAAAAGAGTCACTCAAAATAGAGTCAGAAGGATCTCAAGGAGCTAGAACCTAAGCACATCCCTGCTGTAATTCTTAGAACTTTTGACTTCTGTCAATTACAGATCTACCACCTCCTGGAACACATCCTCCTACTTTGGACTGAAACAGAGATAACGTAACACCTGTTAGCCAAGTATCCAGCCATGTACGGAAGGTCACTTCAAACTCTGCCAGCGCCAATCATAATTCTTTCAAAACAACTTACGTAGCCTTGTAGGTTTTGCCTTTACAAACCTGCACACCACTTTCACATTTCAGGGCAGATGTTTGAATTCTGTAGATTCTGTGTCTTCTGTATCTCTTGGACTGCAATTCTTAAGACCCCAAATAAACATGTTTGGTTGCTTTACAGTCTTGTTGTCTTCTTGGTGGACACTTCTTTGTTGTCTGCCAGTCTATTCTGGTTCTGCTAGTGTGGCACTTAACTATGGGGATCGGCTCTGTCCCATTTGCTCACCCATTTGTCTCTCACCTCTCCCCATGAAGCAGTGAACTCATCGAAGGGGAGAACTGATTTTCCTTGGGCCCATAACTTCCAGTTTCTAGCAACTATAGTATTAACCTTAAACATAAAGCTGTCAGTTATTTTACCAGAAGAAAATGGATTTATTCGGGAATAGCAATTTGGGACATGCAAACTATGGAAAAACCATAGGCCAATCCAACAAACAAAGGAGAGGAACATTATTCTATGGAGGAGAAGGAGGAAGATGGGAAGGGTCGTTTTGAAAGCAAGTCCATTGGAGAAAGGCAAGAGTTCAGGGTGATGCCAGTTTCTTATAGGTAAGTTGCAAGGGTAGTGGATTTCTGAAAGATTCAGTGTAGGTCTTTCCCTGTTGGGGGCCTGGAACTGATCATTCTTTCTTGTTGATGAGTCTTCTGTTGGAGCCTATGTTACAATTCTTCCTGTAATTCTAATTCTTGTATAGCTCCCCCTTCCAGCCTCCCTACTCACTTTAATGAGGTTTCCCCAAGTGTACATGAAGATAAAAAGATTAGCAACAATTTATTGAGGACTTAAGATCTTTACCATCATCTCATTTAAGCATCTCAACAAGTCTCTGAGTTAAAGAGAATAAAATGTTATTTCCATTTTACTAAGATACTGAGCCTCCATGTGGCTAAATAACTTGCTTGGGACCTCATGGTTAATAGACAACAAAACTCCAGCAATTAAATTTAGATTGTATAATTTTAGCTTTCACATGCTTAATAAAAATGCTGTCACAAGAAATCAACAAGTTTTGACCTAATTTAAATAGGACTGATAGAA